GCCATCGCTATTAGGTTGGAGGCCATCGCTCTTAGGTTCGAGGCCATCGCTATTAGGTTGGAGGCTACACGTTTTCCGAGTTCAACCTGCCTCAAAGGCCTATTCTGCCGGCAGAGCCGAGCGACAGCCAGCCTGCCCAAAGCTTAGCAAGTTTTGTGCGCCATGGCTAGTTCTAGATGGCCAAATATCCAACAGCTTTTGCTACATGATATTTGCAATGCTGGCTCTGTCAAAGGCTGCTCCTAGCAGTGGCAGTGCGAGAGCCACTTGGCTTCCAGAAGAGGTTAGAAGCCAAAAACCTGTTTGAACAACTTGACCACCGGTGCCACCTTAAAGCTTTCTTCATTACAAGAATGCCACTTCAAAGACGGGCCACAGGTTCTTCGACTCGTATACACACCAAAGCTCTTTCTTCACTTTTCCATGCCTGCAATGGCCACCAATCTCTGGAGGTCCATGTCTCGGAGCTCATGGCGATGGAGAAATTCAGCACACTGCCGAAACCCATTGGGCCAACCACCAGTGCACTCTTTTAGGGTCGCAGCCGGGCGCGGTCGCCGGACCCTCGCCGCCCCGGAGGAGGCTAACCGGGGGATGGATTTGGGGTTCCAACGAAGAGGGATGTAGGCGAGGAAACATATGCAAGCAGCTAGGGAAATGAGAAGTCATCTAGTTGATTCTACTTTTGTGGAGATGGCTTAAACACCCTCATGAACAGTTCCTTCCATGAGCAGTTCCTTCGAGAAGTCTCCCCAGCTTTGGGCTGCGACCTGCAAGAGAACATCTTCCGATGTTTTGTACAAGCATAGCCAGCATAGCGCAACAGATCATCAATCTCCAAAAATGGTCAGAGCAAACTGAGCAAACAACACAAAACCACTTCATACCAAGCAAATATCATATATGCATCAAAAAGACAGGATGCAGAACAACCATGTGATGGCACATGACGACTCATGGCAACTGGCAACGATATCTTTGCGAGTAGAGCCAGAACCTGCCCTAGCGAGGAAAACGTTTTGGTCGCTGCTTGCTTCGGTTTGCTTTGGTTTGCTTTGGTTTTGGTCGAGAGCAGCATATCAGCTGGAGTGATACAGAAGGTTGAAGCGACCTCCAGTCACTAAGTTCATTTTTCCCCAAACCGGTTATTGCTGCGGTTCTCTTAGAAAAAATGGCCCACAAAAGCCGTGGCCGCACCGTGACCCGCCGTGTCCTCTTCAGCCCGCTTGTCGTCCGGGCCGAGACGTCTCGGCCTTGTCCAGGACCCTTGTTCCTAGTAGTAAGGCCAGGAGCCCCTTCGTAGCGTCCTTGCTCCTAGTAGCGTCCTTGTTCCTAGATATCCTCAAAAAGGTGCAGTCAGTGGATGGCAGATTAGTCTTGGCTCAATCAGCTGCAGCATGGGACCGAAAACCTATGGTGCCTCGACAGCAGGGGGGCGCGCCGCCGCTTCCAAATGACTTGAAGGATCCGTCTTAGACTGTTTCACAAAAGTTTCTTCTCCATGTTCATGAGCCAGCACGGTTCAATGCCCGGCCATGCCCTCCATCCGCCATATCCCTTCACCCGGCCGCCGGCGCTCCTCCGAACGCCCCGGTTCACGGCGGAACCGAGGTCGCGGAACTGCGCTTTGCCACTGATGAAGGTGCAGTCTTGGTCTCATCCGGCCAGGCACCGACCTGGACGCTTTGGGACCGACCTGGACGGTCGGTCTTGACGGACGGAGCATGTCTTGACGGAGCATGTCTGACGGAACATCTCAGGATAGGCCATGGTCATGGTACCGTGTTTTGGCTAGCAGAGTGCAGCAGAATCCTCTTGTCTTCTTGTTAGTCCAGTCAAAGCATCACTTGCACTGGCTTATATATACATATGACTCATATGACTTATGACTTTCTTTGTTCTGAAACATCATCGTTTGAAGATGGCCATGTTTGGATTGCTGAGAGCCAGGACTCAGAGAGAAGTCGGGTACACTGCATCGTGTCAGGACGGAGTAGCCGGCTGCGAGTCGGTCGCCGGAGCCCTGCGAGTCGTTTGGCGCTTTTGCGCGACCAACACATGCTATGCCTAGCAAATCCAACAAACCCTTCTTTTGGGCATCTCCTTGTGCCACATCCCAGTGTGAGACCCCATGACATGAAGCAGTACTTCGTCAAGAACTGTGTGCTTCTTTATGAGGAAGCAGGCCCTTACAGGTGTTGTTCATCGCCAAGTCCTTTCTAGAATCCCAAAAAAGGGCCCAAGGTGGATTCCCTCCGCTTGATTCCCTCGATGCCCATCCGGCTTCAAAGGACATGCCCATCCTCGATTTCGCCCTCACGCGCCGCCATCGCAGGCGCTCCCTATGACCTGCGACGACTGACGGCGTCGCCGAGGGCGGGCGGCGGCTTGGTGGCCTTGGAGACCTTGGAGAGTGTGCAGAGGGAAGTGGACTTTGCTCAACGCGCAGGCGACCGGTGAAATATTTGGGAACTGGGTCGAGCGGCGTGGGGAGGGAGAGATTGCGAGAGTAGCTACTGTGAAGATGGAGGTGTTGGGCTTGGCAGCCTGTTTGGTTTCACTCTTGCCTTGACGAAGGGTAGTGGCATTGACCATCCCACACCATTCCCAAGCGTGGGCGGTCATGTCCTTGGCTGTTCATCCACACATGGGATCCACAGGACCTTGTGAACCCAGAGGTCTTCAGTCTTCTTAGGATGGGATTTCAAGTGTTGCTCATCCGCGGCTGCTCGTATCGATTTTCGTTGAGATTGATTTCTTCAAGCATGTTGGAAGTGCATCCAGGTCGCCATCCCAACATCGTTCGGTGTCATGGCACCCTGGTGCAGAATGAGGGATCCTGCCTCAGTCTTTGTTGAAGCGTGAGAGTTTGTAGACCTGAGATTGTTTGGACATGATTCATGGGAGAGAGACAGAGAGAGCCTAATAGCGATGGCCTCCAACCTAATAAGAGAGAGATCCGTCACCAAGATCAGTTACAGTCACTAATTCTGGGAGATTCCCACTGACGTTTCCCACCTGCTTGGTATCCCAGGGGCTGTGCACTGCCGCTTGCTGCTCTGTGAGCCCTGTGTGATCGACCTCACGACACACACCTCTGGTCCATGGCTTGGTTCAGTTTTGAGGCATGTTTGCGCGGACCCAGAGTGAAACCAAGAAGATCAACCAACCATATATCCAAACCGTTTCTTACTGTATTGGATTGGAGGTTTACCGTCACATAAACCGAGAAGAGCTTGGAGAAACCTAAGAAGATCAGCCAATCAGGCACTCGAACTCGTCGTCTCCCTGGAGGCAAGGCTTCTCCACCAACCGAAAACCGACGTGACTGAGGCTCCTCCACACCCCGAGTGCCCGAGCTCACAGACCTGGGGCAGCAACTGGCCTTTGGCCTTGGACATCTCCACAACCTTGGGATCTTGTGCCCCACGAAGCGAAGCTTCTGGAGAGGTGGTAGAAAACGGACATGCCAGGGGTCTTAAGGTCTATGGGTGGCGCCATTGGGTGCAGTTGCACTCTTGGTTGAAACACTCATTGTGAGGCATCACATTGCTTGAGCAATTCAACACCCCCGTGGCCCATGACGTGTTGAGCGCGGTTTTGCCAATCTGCAGTTGCGATTGGGTTGCGGAATCCTTCCTTGGTCCACTGGCACGTCTAGGAACTGATTCCCCAGGTACGGAGGCTTCGAAGGCAAAGGCATCTTCCGAGGCCTGGACCAGCACTTTATATAAGACCTTTGGGTTTTTCCTCGCAGCACACGACAAACCAGATCACCAGATCACCAGACCACCCGACCATCAGACCATCAGATCTAACCATTTTCCTAACCATTTTTCCTAACCATCTCCTTCAGATCTCCTTCAGAGGCCACGACGGGCTTTGGAAGCTCGGCGCCTTCGGCCGCGCGGCGGCGCTGCCGGCGCCGCCGGAGGCGCGTGGGAGCCGCGAGCTGAGCGAGCTAAGCGAGTGCTGAGTCGATTTTCGGCTTTTTTGGAGCATTGTTGAGGCACGGACGACGCCTTGAAACCGGAGGCCGGAAGAAATTTTGGAACATTAAATACAAGGCAGCTCCATGTATTTAATTCTTTGTACAGTTTATGTGAAGATATATGAAGTTAAAGAGGTGGATCGACCACGAGGCAATCAGCGACTTGGTTTGACTCAGTTGTCTCTGAGCCGGTTAGGCGGATGTCTGGTTGCTTGGTGCCTTTCTGTCCTCTTTGCTTTCTGGACTTCCTCAAGGCAGCTTGGGCTTGGGTGTGAAAGTTCACAAGCCCATAAATTTGGGCACTTGATGGCACTTGGTCAGTTAGAAGCTGAACAGTTAGACGTGGCACCCCCCCAGGGAGTGGTGCTTTGGCTTTAGCGCCACAGCGGTGTGCATCTCAGAGTGGAAGATATGGCGGTGGTGAACAGCGGTGAAAAGCGGTGCAAAACGGCTGTGTGTTGGTTGAGGCTCTCAGATCTCTCAGTTGGGCGGCTGTGGGTCCTACTACATTGGCTCATGGCAGAGGAGCTCTCCAGATGTGGTGGTAGTTTCGAATTACGAATTTGATGAGTTTCGTCTCACATGCGGATGTGAGTTGCTGAGAGTTGCTGAGAGTTGCTGGCTGTACAATTCCAGAGAGGAAGAGAACCGTGTGAGAAAATCCGTGTGCGACGACGTGAACGTTCAGGCCCCTGAGGAACGGCCTTGTGCTGGTGAAGCAGCAGCTCTATTGGGTGCTCTAGCATTCACTCCTCCACAGGAGAGACGAAAGCCGAGATGTCAAGATTGGCATGCTCACATGAACCAAATCTATAGCTAGACCATTGATAGTTAGACCATTGACACACATCATGTGTTGTGGGCGTCTCAAAAAACTCGGAGACTTTGACTCCCAGCTTCCTGTTCTCTTATTCCCCAGTCCACCAATCTTGACCCACCGAGCTTCGCCCCCAGTCCAGGCCATGTGCTCCAGTTTCCTCCTCCGCAGGAGCTCTTGGCCGAGATGCCCTCGCGCGAGCACCGCTGGGTCTGCGGTACGGTCCTGGCGGCCGCACGGCAGCTCGCGGTGGACCTGGCAGTGGCGGAGCCTTCGGAGCTGGCGGAGATGCCGTTGGAGAGGCCGGCAGCGGACGAGGGTTTTCACATCGAAAACACACCTCTTGGAAGACTTGTTACTACTAGTAGTAGCTTCTAGCTACTAGTAGCGATGCACCTGTTCCTAATAACGATGCACTTGTTGCTAGCTCAGTTTGGATGCCGACAGCCTTTGGGCTTAACTGTGAGCGGCTTGTTTCAAGTCCAAGCTGGGTGACACCTTGAGAGGGTGAATCTGTGAGACCCTCTTCTTCACTTGCACTTCCACTTCCGTGTGGTTTCTTGTTCGTATTTCGTTTTTGACCAAAAGCGGAAGTTCCGAAAACTCTTTTGCAGGCTTCGCACACTTGCCAGCGAGAATCTTGGCTTCAATTAGTGCCCAGTGTTTGCAGCATACAGCATTCGCTCCTCCCTTCGCTCCGTCGTTTGGCAGGATCAATGACCTCCTCGAGAACTGTGGCTTAGATGCGAGTTTTCGAGCCCATGATGCACCAGAACCTGAAAAGTTGGAAGAAGCCCCACCATGTACAGGTGGGATTTGCAGATTGGACGGTTTCTGAGGGAGAACACAATCTCAATCATTCTCATATCAGTGGCAGTTGGAGTTCCAATGGCCATGAGTCAAAACGTTTTGGTATGGAACATGTACTCTTGAACATCTCGTTCCATACCCCGTTCCATACCTGTGGAACAACATGTCTGTTCGCCGTTCCATACCCATCGTTCCATACCTATGGATTCCTAGTTTACAATTGTTCGAGGTTCAATCAAAACGTGCGCTTTGCTTGCTGAAATACATTTACCGTGAGAAACGGGACTGAGATGATACGTCAGGTTTTTTGGTACAATTTGTTCCATACCCCCGTTCCATACCTGTTCCATACCTTATGGAACAAGGGATCCGCTCCATACCCTATGGAACAGGAAGGTGCGCGATGTTCACCTGAGACCCGGGGTTTTGATGCACACCCAATTTGACGTTGTTTAGCTGGCCATGAATGGAGAGGCTTCCGTCCAAAGCAAAGTGCGGACATTGCAGATGCCTCTACCAATGCCAGTGGTATGACTGCTCCTCAGAAACGGGCAGAAGCTGTGACGCAGCTCTTGAACAGTCACGTTGTTACGGAGATTTTGTGGCTAGGTCAGATGAGTTTGACAGTCGAAGCCTCAGAGCCTGCATGGCTCGCCTGGCTGTCAGACTCATCAGCAATGCTTGTAAGGCAAGATGGGCTTGCTGCCCGCAAAAGGGGCCAACGAGGCCACAGTTCCGAAGATCCAGCGCAACACTGTTCCAGAACTCTTCGGAAAGCAATTGCAAGCGACACTCTTCGGATGTGTCTCAAACGCACGTTTCGGTCACATTTCGGTCTGTTCGCGTCGTGAGCGTTTCGAGAAACGCGAGAGATGATGGACACAACATTTGTGTTGAAACACCTCCTTGTTGCATTTTCTTTAGAATCGTTAATCAGAAGAATAACTTTCATGTTATTTGCATAGTTAATGAATCAGGCTCACTCAGCTGACTTGCTTGGCCTGGGCTGATGGTGGTCCGGGTCTGAGCTTGACTGGTTGATCTTGACAGATCACTTGAACGGACATGGAAAAGCGGATTTTTCACCCAACTCACTCACACCCAGGTGCTTTCTAATCCGCTATTTGGTTGGAGGCCATCGCTATTAGGTTGGAGGCCATCGCTATTAGGTTGGAAGCCATCGCTGTTAGGTTGGAGGCCATCCCTAGTAGGTTGGAGGCCATCGCTATTAGGTTGGAGGCCATCGCTAGTAGGTTGGAGGCCATCGCTATTAGGTTGGAGGCTATCGCTAGTAGGTTGGAGGCCATCGCTGTTAGGTTGGAGGCCGTCGCTAGTAGGTTGAAGGCCATCACTAGTAGGTTGAAGGCCATCCAGGTGCTTTCTGAACCTGTTTGCCCCTGAACTTGTGATCAGGATGTGTCATCTCACAGACTGTCGATGCAGAACGCCATCGGACTTGTCCCTTGTCTGAAGGGCGAATCCAGCCTTTCTGTGACACAGGCAAAGCCTGGCAACTTTTGCTGATGAGATTTAATCATCATGGTCAATCAAGCCACAATAGCTCGACTTTAGGAAATACTTACAGGATTATGGATTTGCTGCATTTTGCTACCTTTGACACAGCATTCTTCCAGACTTATTGTTTGTTGGTCAAGAACGAGCTTAGCCACAGCGAAACAGAAATCTTCTCGAAACTTCTCGAGTTTCTCGAGTCCCTCACGATGAAGCTGCTTGACCCGTTGGAAAAAAGAATCGCTCATGGTAGATCTTGGAAAAACCAGCCACCAGTGGAGTTCACCAATGCTTGCAATTTTCGCGACATCCGCAACTTTTGATCAGTGGGGATAGTCCAAAGTACCTGACATCCTCCAACATTCTTTTTCCTGGTCGCTGCGGTTGCACATTCCACGGGGCCCTGTCAGTTAGTCCCAGATGACAAATTCAGGGGAAGTGCTCTTAGATTGGAGGCCATTGCTATTAGGGAGTTCTGTTGTGCAACGCCTTTAGGGCTTTGGCTCTTCTTTGGGTCGCTTTTTCACACGGTGGCATCGCAAGAACTGGAAGCTCCCATTCCAAATTGGACCAGTGGCTATGTCGCCGATCATTGAAGCTTTTGCTTGTCGCAAAGCTGCTAGTTCTTGACAAGTGAAATCCACAATGGGTCACACAGAGTGCAACTGGAATCGACTTCTATTACCCAAGATTCTTCAAAGCCAGCTGAAGCATGCAGACTATCAGACTCCACTCCGGCACCATTGAGATGCCATGCGAAGCAAGTTTCCGATTTGCGCCAAAAAGCGATCAATCATGGTCTTCCGTCACCCCATGGCAGGACCGCTTGGTTGATGAAATGCCACAAAAAATTAGGGTCCCCCTCAACCTTGAGTAAAGCAGGGTGACGTGCAAAGAAAGCAGTAGGGTAAGCTTTGTTCACTTGCTTTGTAGACGTTTCATGAAGTGTCAACGCTCCGATTGAGTTCACAGTGAGATCCAAAACAACAACGCTCCTTCTATACTGCGTATGCTTCCACTGGTTTTAGCTTCTGGCTTTCAGTCCTTTCCCCAACGGTACTCACCATCAAGAAGAGGTGAGCTCCCCGTGGCCAGGACGACCTTTTCATGGCAGGTCCGTTGGTCCGTGCGCGACGGCGCACGACGGAGACCTTCCTTCGCAGAGACGATCGCTATAAACACGGTCTACGCTACCAAGCAGTGTCGTTCATCCTCAGTCTGTACCGGTCCATACGACTTCCACGACTTCTTCGTAATGTGTTGCGTTGTGCTGTACGGCGCTTTTGGACAGTTTCCGCAGTTTCTCTCATTCACATGGATGAACTGAATGCACCAGCCAATTGGACCGAAGGCTACTCCTGCTGTTGGCGACCGTTCCACTCCTAAGGCGTCCGTGGCGGATTCGACGGCTTCGCTCCGTGGGACGGCGCCGTCTTCGTGTCGTGTCGAAACGGAACAGGAGCAACTTCGTCTCCCAGGAGCGGGTGTTTTTTTCGGTGTTTTGGGTGTGGTTTTTGGTGGCGAACACAAACAATCAGCAGTTTCGACAACTTTTTGAAGATCTTTGGGGCAATTTTCCAAGTGAAACTCATGCATCAGCGTGTTCTAAATTTTGCTCTCTTTTTGCAGGCTGCTGGACGTCCCAGAGCAGCTGTGCGTCGCGAACTGAGGTGTTCAGCTTCGCCTAGAAGTTCGAGAAAGCTGTATCAGGCATGATCTCGGCAGGGTCATAGCTCAAATTGCCTCGAGTTCGGATCCGGTTTTGTACCAGAACAAGCGGGCCGAGGCAAATCCGCTTGTGCCGCCTCTGGTGGAACGTTTGAGGAGAATCGTGAGGCTGGGGCTCACGTGGGGCTGTGCCTGGCAATGCATGGAGCGGAACAAATGTATTTCTTATTTGATTTGTGCCATGCTGGCCGCTGGCGTATGCAAAAAAAGTCAAATGCATGAGAACAACTTGCTGAGGCTTTGAAGGCTTGCCTGGCCAGGGAATACCGAAGCTTCTTTCGGCCCTTCGAGGAGGGAGGGGCGGGGCAAGAGCTCGGCCCTTCTTGAGTATTTTGTCCCTTGCCATGAAACAGAACGGTTCTTGTCCTAATCTTAACTTCTTTGTGCAGCTGACAGCACCAGTTTCCCTACCCCACACCAACGCCCGACAGCCCGACCGCCAGGCCGACTTCTATGACGAGGTCCTGACCTCGGACGTTCGACACGTTCCGCGCGTTCAGCGACCGTTCAGCGGAACGCCCTTTCTTCGGTCTGGAGGACGTGAGCTTCACGGATCCTTTGAATCAGCTGAAGGGTCAGGCGGGGAACGGAAGGTCCGATTTTCAGGTGAGATTCAGATTCCCAAGAAACGATTTGGAAGAAGGACAGTCCTTACTTTTTGCAAAGCACGCAGTCCTTCCTTTCAGCAGAAGCACGAAGTTCCGAGAGTTGGGGCCGTCCGAAGTTCGCCGCCCAGTGGCTTGCGTTGGCTCAGACAGGCCAGCTACAAGGCCAATGTGGAGATGCTCTCTGGGAACTCTTTGATTGGGACGCTTGGTCGCTGTCAAAGCGAAAACGCGACAAGTCTTGGAGGTCAAATAACTTTATTTTTTAAAACAACCTATTGCTGCTCAGGAACATCCTGTTCTCTGACGCCTTTATCGACTTGCACAGCGTAGAAGAGGCAAGTGAACCCAAGATATCACAAGATTTCTCTACCTATTTAGGTTGCGAAGATGCTCCTTGTTCTCATGGAGGAACATCAATCTGCAAGCTTTTGCACCGTATGTGTGGAGACGTTCGCGCTTTCTTCGTGATCAGGTCCCTGGAGAAGCCACGCGCTTGCGCACCCGGTGGACCTTAGGCCCGGTGGACCTTAGGCCGAGTTTCAAGAGTGTCATGGAACCGTAGAACATGTGCATCAGGATGATAATATCATCGCAGCTGGTGAGAGATCATGTGTTGAAGAAACACACGCACACTTTTTCCGCTCGGTGTTGGCTTCCAGCTTGGAGGATTTGCCTTCAAGCTCCTTCCGTGGAAGCCCAGAGCGCTCTTCAGTGGTGTCGGATCACACAGATGTGTCCGATGTATTCTGACCCAACTGGGCTTTGGGTTGCGACTTGATGATGTACCGCATGCAGACTCTGTGCCTCTTTTTTGGGGGGGCGAACGACTCGCGGAGGTCTCCGAGTACACCATTGATGAGCGAAATGCCAAGGTGCGAAAAATGTCCGTCCGTCCAAAACGCCCTGGTTCCCTTCTTCTGGGCGAAACTGACGGGGGGGCGCAGGGCGAAACCTCCTGTCGTCCAGGTGCTAACGCAGCGGGATTATTGGGACACCCTGAGCTTGGAGAAGGAAGGCGAATATGTCGAATGCCTCAGTGTGTTTTGTAGTTTTTTTGTTGTTGTTGTGTTGTTTAGACGAACAAGACATCACATGGAATCAAAGCCTTTGTATTATGAACCTTTCAACAGAACAAGTTGACCTGACTGAATGCCCCAGGTGCCTGAAGTCCCCCTCAGCGGATTGAAGGAGAGTTGCATTTATGTGTGAGCCCTGCCTTTTTGCCATGGATTTCTTGGATTCATGATTCATGTGTTTTTTCCTTTTGCAGGATTTGGTGTCCCAGCTACTTCCAGATCCACTGAAACCTCTAGAGGCTCAAGAGCCCCGTGTGGCTGAGGACGCCGAAAAAGAGCGATCAAGGAGGGCAGGGGAGTAAAAACCATCCATCCACCATCCACCTGGCTGTGGATTTCCATCGCGGAATCCACCAGGCACCAATGCCAGTCACCAGCTCATCCTTACGCGTTCTGTGTTTTACGCGTTCTGTGGAACTCTTCCAGATCTTTGGGGTTTTACGGCTCGTCGTTATTTTTCTATTTTTCTTATGGGACCTGACTTGCAACGCTGCCCTGGGAGGACGCGGGCTGGGCACTTCTGCGGCGGGTGCGGGGCTTAATGTCAAGTGACACGGCATCTCTCGATGCCATTTCACGTAGTTTGTGTTGCAATATCTCCATTTCAGTGTCCATGTTGTGTTCTTTTTGGAGGAAAAGGTCGAGTCTCAGTCTCTGTCCTTCAAGGCGAACGTCTACCGTGTCTATCGGGACCAGTCAGGACGAGAGACGGACCGTTTGTTCGAAACAGCTGTCAACGGTGGACGTGTGAAGCCCACCGAAGCAGATGGAACTGGCGCTTGGTAGCGGAGGGGCGGAGGGGCGCCGTGGAGCTGCACCCGGTCGACCGGGCCGGCGCGATTGAGGCGTCAGGTGTTTTCTTTTTTCTCCGGTTGTCAACTGTCACTCCGGTTGGTTGTTCAGTCCTTCAAGTGTCACTCTTTTCTCGGAAGCAAGTCTGGCTCTTCTTTCTTGCACTGTGCTGCAGGAGACGTTTTCGCTCTTGCAGCTCCTGGATATCGCGGGGGCTTGGCTGGCATCCGGCAGGAGATGAAGGTGCTGACAAGTGGTGCAAATGCCTGTGACCAAAAGAAATCAGATCTTGCGTAGCCAGCGTGGTGGAGTGGCTGTGCAAAAATGCAGCTCCTCCCCCCCCAAAACCGAGGAACAGAATGACCTTTTAGAACTTGATATGTCTTCCATCCTATGACCACAGTGGTCGACACGACTGGTTTCTCTTTGTTGACGAAGACCACTGTTGGTCCTTTTTCTCGAGTCGTTCGTGGACTCGAACGGCGTCGCCGCCAGTTGCATGGCTTGACAGCTGGTGATGTGGTCCAGCCCGAGCTCTCAGCGTGAACGCCCGCCGGACCGGACGAAAGAGATTCCGCAAAAGGTCTGCAGTCCGGCGAGACCTGCCTGACATTGCCTGACTCATCGTGTTTTCTAGTTTTCTGCCAGAGAATCCAACGTTTGAATGACCAGCCCTCCCCAAGCTTGCGACAAATCCTTCGATCGCCCAGGAAGGGCACCCTCGAAGGGCTCCAGTTGCTGAAGTGCCCGACCCAGTGTGTGCTTCTATGGTCTGAGAAGTATATATATATATATATATTATATAGAACAAACACGTGTGTCTACAATACAACATCTACCACAACTACAGCCTCCTAGATCTCCTAGGTGCCTTCCTTGGTTCCAAAAATGCCCTCCTCCCAGGCCCCATCCTTGGAGCCAATCCCTGGAGCCGGACGCGGAGAGATCGGACGCCGCGGAGAGATCCATGGCGGTGAGATAGGATTCGTCGGGTGAATGGACACAAATCCGTTCACCATTTTCAAGGCCAAGCGGCTGTGCCTAACGCTTCTTTTTTCTCATGATGGTTTTATCATTTACTGTATCCATATTTGTCCAGCTAGATGTTAGATAGCGTGACTAGTACATGAGGCCAGACAGGTTTGACAACATTCTTGAATTGAACACATTCATGGATCTGGGTAGTCAAGGGTAGGACCGGCTAGGCCCTTCAAGAATGTGTTCGTTACTAGGAGGTAAATCAACTCCTTCAAATTCATTGTAACTACTCATTTTTGTGCTCGTTTATTCCAATACGTAGTTACATATTGTCGTGGATCGATGATTCTGTTGATGTGGCCGCGTTTAGGGTGACCAGGCCAAGCTGGCTGCAGGCAGAGCCACCGCCGCGTCAGCTCCCTGCCGATCCCGACCTCTCCTGACCACAGAAGCTGCGACGGAGATCCATTTTCGCGTCCTCGATTTTCGCCCGCCGAAGGGTGTGCCCAAAGAGTCGCTGCCGCTGTTTCGTGCGAAACACTGGTCGCATCTGACTGGGGGATCGACAAAACAAGCGCTCCCGGTGACCTTTCAACTCGGGTGGTTTGAGCCGGCCAACTCTTGGTACCGCAGCTTGGAGGGCTACCAGGTCTTTGCCGAACGCGGAGCGTGTGCGATGTGGCTCTGTCCTCCGGAACCAGAAAGAGAGAAAGCCCAAGCCTCAGCTAACCCGAAGGCTTCGTCCAAGCTGGGAGTGTCGACAGGCAAAGACCAGGGCTATGCAGCTACCTCTTCCAGACATGACCGGGTCACTACTGTAAGTAGCGTTCTTGTTCCTGATGAGTTCAAGAAACCCAGAGACTTCCAACGCCATAGTTTGGAAGAAACGTTGGACGACGAATTCCTTCTTTTTTGCCCTTTGAGACTTGAGACCTTGTTTTTTCTCCTTGGACCGCGCTTTTTTTGCGTGAGGGCAAAGCATCCGATGAGAAGCGAAAACTTCTGCGTGAGGGCAAAGCATCCGACGAGAAGCGAAAACTGAAGGCCCGTGAATGGGAGGGGGGTCCTTGGGAGTCACACAGGTGTGTCAAGAAAGGCGAGAAAGGTGACTATACCCGCCAGCACTCATAAAACCTGTGCGAAGCCAGCACTGAACCACTGAAAAACAGTGACGTGGATTCAACTACCGATCCATCGGTTCTGTCCGAAAAAGACACAAATCCATCGGCACTTGCCACCTCAGGAGTCGGAGGAAGAGGAACCGCCAGATGAGACGGATCCAAACTTGACCGAGGCGGCCCACACCGTGCGACACACGTGCGACACATGGACTGAGGTGCAGTATGGACCTCCGGACCTGGGGGAAAGTGGTGTTTCAAAAATCGTCCGTTCTTCCAACTTTCATTCCAACTCCAGTCTGGGGGAAGAGATATTTCACCAAGTCACTTGTGACCTTCCATGGCCTTTTACCAATTTCGTTCATCTCCGTGCAGCATTTGCTTGCTCTGTTGTTTCACCAGGAGGAGCAAAAAGCTCACATTCGGCAGCGCACATGCACAGATGCTGGCACCTCAGTGGTGAAGAGTACCTCAGATCCTGTCCAGTTGGTATGCCCTCGATCCTTCCATAGCAAATCCCAACAAGAACCGTCCTCTGTCCAGGCGATCTGTGTGCTTTTGTTTGTTTTGGCCATGCTGGGCTTGTTCGAAGTGCTGCGCAGGGGGACCCAGGCCAATGAATTTGACCACATGCCACTGGCTGCGCCACTGGGGACTCAGGCTATGGTTGGGAACACGGAGACACCCGTCGCATTTACTACGGCCCTGCTCTCAAGAGATTCAGATGCCGGCCATTGGCTCGGTCGGCCCCGCCCAACAACTGACATCACCGAGGGCCTCCAACCTACTAGCGATGGCCTCTATCCCCACCTCTTTTTAACCCTTCCCAACCCTTCCCCTTTGGGGAAGAAAAACTCTCATCACATTCCTTCGCTCAGTGATGGTTGTCCAGCTGACTGACTAGGTTCGACGAAAACTCTTGAGGTCTGAACTGGGAAGGTGAAGTTTGTGGCGTTGATCCTGCTGTGCGGGTGTGAGTCTTAGAGCCCGAGATCTCGCAGCTTTTTTTTTCCGACTGGTGAGAGTCGAAAAACAGAAAACAAAGGGTGGACGTGGTTGCGAGCCCAAGAATCCTTATTCAATCACGTTGCCCTGCTTGATTCCATGATTTTCACTCTCCCACTCTATCCATTTTGATAATCAACCAGGATTCTCTCAGTGGTGGGCAGGGAGCATTTTTTCTGACCCAAGTCTGTTGAGCAGCACCTTAGGCCAAACCATTGCTCTATTGGTGCACCAAGCCAGATCAGACCCCCATGAGCGAGGTGGGGAACCGAGGAAGCTGAGCACGTCTGCTGGCTACCATGGTTTTGGAGACCCAAATCATTGACGCTTGGTGTAAAATAGGATCCATAATAGTTTCCAATTCACACTCCAGAAGTCCGGATTTCGCCACCAAACATGGGCGCCTCACACCCATCCACAGACCCATCCAGAGAGACGGAGGGCCCCTGCTGCGGGCCACGCGGCAGGATTCTCTCAACCAAATCGGCATCCCCACCGAGATCACTGATGGGCTCCTCTGGTGAAAAAACGGGAGACTCAGGGATACAACGAGAATTCAGAGAACTCAGGCAGACCGACGGTTTTCAATCTGTTCGGTACAATCTCTACCACTTGGTCTGTTCACCTGCGCTGCAAGTGGCTAGGTTCCTCTCTCTCTCTCTCTGTCTGTCTCTCTGTCTCTGTCTCTCTCTGTCTCTTTCTCTGTCTCTGTCTCTGTCTCTGTTTGTCTCTCTTTTTCTCAGTGGTCTGTGGCGAGTTTTAGGCAGTCGAGGTGGCAGCACCTTTAGGCGCGTAGCCTCTGTTGCTTTTGGACTGGCGGGATGGCGGTGATGGTGGTCTTGCTACACCACCGACACTCGCTACCAGATGTGTTGAACTGTTGTGATTCGCTTACACCATGATGTGTTGTTTTGGATGCTTTGTTTGACACTTCCATGCTTGTTTACACGTCCCTGCTCATGCAGTCTGAAAGGCTTTGCTCCTACCCGGTCCCACTACCAAAAACAGATCCATCAGTGGAAAAGAAGGTCAGGTCTTCCATGTTTGAATGCTCATCACCTCTTCATGCGTTTTTGGTTCTTCTGAGGTTGGGAAACTTGGTTTCCCTTGCGAACAAAGTCTTCGCACCGACCTCAAATCTGGATTTGCTTCACCCGTTTCTTGGCTGAAGTTTGGTGCCAGAAAGCTGCTTGCACACGGGCGGTTTGCTATGGCAACTTTGACGATTCACGTATCGGCTGAAGTTTAGTCCCTATCTTCCAACCCCCAGAGCGCCAGAGCCCTTGATTGGGCTTGCGTCAGGTAGGAAAAACAGTAGCGTTGGCCTCCAACCCAATAGCGATGGCCTCTAAAAAGACTGTTGCTCAGATCCTTGCGGTGCCAAGGATTTGCCTAGATGCATGTCCTCTTGACCCTAGCACTTTTCACCCGTGCTTGCAGTGCTTCGGCGGCAAACGAAGCTGCGGAACCAGCTGACTGGTCTCGATCGAAGTTGAGCGAGTCGAGAGAGAAGCTTCGAACTTCAGGTATGTTGAGACCGAGAAGCAAGCTGTGAAGAACTTCGATGGTCACTTGACAGCATGACGCGCTTATGCATCCACATACTGCAGTTCCAGTGTTTTGGTCCAATGTTTCAGTAGACCAATAGGGATCTGCACTGAGCTGCACTTGACAGCAAAAAGGTACTTTCTGGAAGAACTCAACCTTTGTCTCCCGGCTAGTGCTTTGGCAGCACTTCTTGGAATCGCTGAGTATTGATAATCAGACCCAGCAGGTGCTCTTCTTACACTTGGCCCTTTGTCTATCCATTTCTGGAAGACTTTGGGTAGGCTTTAGAGAGTTTTACTTTCTCTTTCTTTTGGTGTTATCCCCTAAGGTGCAAGATATCAAGACATTCACCTTTGCACATCGCTATTGCTTGCCACCGGAGCGGGCGGTACGAGCATGTTTAAGCCACTGCTGTTTGGGTGAAAGCATGTCAATGAATGGTACATCTTCAGAAAGCGCTGGTTGCGAGAAAGTGTTTTCCGCGGTCGCAACGGAAGCAGCGCAGACTTTTCTGTCCCTTTTCAGCTGTGCAGGACAATTTCTTTGTTGAGCAACTTAGCAGCAGGCAGGTCGCCAGCCAGGCAGGTCGAAAGGCCGCCAGTGACATGTCCGAGCGACAGGTCGGGTTTGATCTAAGGACAGTGAATCAGACCTTCCAGACGACCTCGACCCAGGCAGGGTCACTCACTTTGTTTGAGTCGAGTGAGCTAAGCTCGCTCGCTCGCTCGCTCGCTTGCTCGCTCTTTTCGTGAAACACACACGAGCGAGCGAGCTTAGCTCATTTTGGCTCTCCATATGTGGAGTGTCAACAGAGTTCTGTATCCAGTTCTTGTCACCCAGTTCTTGTACGGAGTCGCTGAGCTGGTGGAAGCGCGGAAGGTCTTTTTCATTGCAGGAGAAATTGGAAAATGACTGAGACGGTTTCATTGCAGGGTTCAAAAGTTTGTATTAGTTCAACTTGCTTCTTTGACCGAAGTGCACCAGAAGTGGCAGGATGTCTTGCAGCTGCTTGACTTAATACTTGCCCATTTTCTGTCGAGAGTTGATGCTTCAGAAGATTTGGAACTAAGGTAGTCGTCAGCTATATCTACATGTTCACCATTGACTGCTTGTCCTACCCAGCCCAAAGCTTAGATTGTGACTGTTCAAGGGCACCATGTGCATTGGAGCAGTCTCCAGCTACCTAGACTCACTTGCATAAAACCAGTGGTCCGTGATGATCAGTGACTATTATGTGCTGAAGACGCTGTTGACTAAGATTGCAAACGTGCAAATCAACTCAGTTCGGTGGTGACCGCGTGAATGCTTCAAAACGTTTCGACATTTTTTCAAGAGAAACAACTACCAGCTCTCAGCGCCTGTTTTGTGTGATTCTTGCGTCGCTCGAACACCAAGCTGTCCACAAAGGTATCGACTTCATTCAAGTCTTTGGACTGCTCCAAGGTGGTCTACAGCTTTCTCTTCGTCTGTACGGCGGGTCCCATGGTGACTTCACTCTACTTCCTCTATGGCGCCTTCTACACAGATTTTAGCCTTGCCCTTGGTCTTGGTTGAGAACAGAGTTCTAAGCTGGCCACATGCTCATTTCTGCTCCCTTCATTTTTTGCACCACATTCCTTGTCCACAGCTATATGGCTACATATATCTATATATTATATTATATATACATATATATACCACTAACTAAAGCTTTGCAGGTGATGCAATCAAGGTGCATGTGGGCTTTGAGGCGACTGTGCAAGTTTCTGATCTTCTGGGTCCAGCCTCAGCTATGTTCACTCCGCCAGGACTTCCTCTTGCCCACAGCGGTCACCACCAGCGCCTCGGCTCTGACCCTCTGACCCCGTTCGGAACACAAAAACGCGCGCGCGCGGAGCGAAGGCGACCGAAACTGGGACATCGTCATTGCCGTCGTCACCATGTTGGTCGGCATTGGGCCGCCTGGATCGGACCGAACAGAGGTGGGAGTGGCGCTCGGAGCCAACAAAAGGACGCGACGCACGGGGCTCCTGGCCTTACGAACGGGAACAAGGTTCGCTACGAACGGAGCATTTCGGGCATCGCTACGAACGGTACGCTACGGACGCTACTGACCTTTCTACGGCACGAACGGGAGCCGAAGATCGATTGTTCGTAGGAACGTCCAACGGGGCGCGTTCCGTTGACGCACTGAGGGTTGGTTGCTTCTGGTGCAGCTTGGCCAAGTTTGGCTCCTTTCCGATGGATGTGTGGGATTGGTTTTCATCCTTCAGGTTGTAAGCAGCAGTCCATCAACTTTGTCATTGTGGCGATCAAAGCCACCATCCGAGTGCTGTATGATGTTGGGCTCCAAGAGAGTTTGTTAGTTTATTAAATGTCTTTTCTATGTCGCTGGAAGAGAAGTGCTGGACTTTCTAACATCCACTACTGTACTTGTTCTGGTTTGACCACAGAAATAATCCAGCTCAAATGCAGGGTTATACATGTACAGTCATTCTCACGGTGGTCCCTACTACATTTTGGCTCAAGGAGAAAAGAAGCCCGCGGAGCTCCCGCTAGGTTGTTTCGTTTGGGTTTCTTTGCCACTTAGCCTTTGGACCTGTTTTCATTGGGTTATCAGCCGTACTGGCTTTCCCCCTACATACTTTCCCTTTCCATATATTCACATTTTACCCTCGCCCGCGCGGTGCCATGTCTGAAGTCTTCAGCCGATCCTTTGGTATTTGAGTTTTCTCGATACGCTTGGTTGATCGCGTCGACGAGTGAATGCACACGAGGCGTCCGAGACCGAGGGGCGGCAAGAGTGCGAAGCGTCAGAAGCGTCGGAATCAATTCGCACAGGGCTTTAGCAATCAGTTGGAGAACATCTTGAGTACCGCGGACGCGACTCAAACTTCTTCTGATCTTGGAGCGGCGCCGCAGATTCATTCGTCATCTTCGAGTTCCGGGGTTGTTGCTGTGCCTAAGCCGAGCGCTAGTGCTAAGTATCAACCAGCGAAACCTTCTCAGAAAGTGGGTCCTTCTTCATCGGTGCGATTGGTTGATTGTTGAAGAGATTTCATCGGAAGAGGAGGTTTCAGTGAGCAAGGAGGTGATCGAAGCTGGTGGGACGGAGAGTGACTACATCTCAGTGAGGCGGCTGAGCGAAGTGTCACGTGGTGTTGATCAAGCAGTTTTCGACTTGCCGAGGTGGATTTCCGGAAGCGTGATTGTGAATAAAGTTGCATTTCGGGACGAGCAAGGCGAATTCTATCTTGATTCGGCGAGCGATTTGTTTGAGTCCTTGAAAGGTTGCGTGGTTCTTGACCTGTATAAGACGGTGATTTTTCCGGAGCGACTTTCATCGAGAGATTCAATCAGACTTGCAAAACACCGGGGCGAATTCCAGACGATCGAACGGGGGACGCTGTCGTTTATCTTTGAGCTTCAGAGGAACGGGTTCACTTTTTGCGCGTGTTCTTTCATCGGAAAGGCGGCAAGTGGTGAGTACATTGAGGCTTTGATTCAGAGCGAATTGGCAGCAGTCATTCCTGTGATCTTTGTTATTTACAATCGCGATCAGAAGGCCAGTCTTGCAAAAGAGCTCAGTGCGGTAGCTGCGATTGACGATCAGAGAGAGGTTGTTCGGCAGTACCGGGATTCTGGTATCTTTGCGATTGAAGTCAGGCGCGATTTTGGAATTGCAACTCACAAAGAGGAGATCATTCGGCAGTTGCGTGATCAAGCTGGTGGTCAAGTGGATCGTGAGGTGAAGCCAAAAGGAGTCCCATCGGGTTTGGTGAAGGATCGCAAGTGAAAGGGATTGCAGGTGGAAGGGGTGCGTGAGTAAGAGATCATACAAAAGACAAAATGTCAACAAATCAGACATCCAGTGGTTCGAGCGAATTGCATTTGGCAGTTGCAACAGTCGACCAATCCATGGTGAGTTCGGTTGGGGATGCATCTCAATCAACTAGACACCGTGACCTGGTTCCAAGAGCTAGGGATGATCACAGGGTAGCAAACCGCAGGTCGAGGTCCTTAGGTCCGTATCAAGCCTCGGATGGTGCCAGTGATGTGTCAGGATTGGAAGCTGGTAGATTAGTCCCTTTTGATTTGGATGAGGAAGAACATCGATTGAGCAGGGTAGGTAGGGTCCAAGATTTTGCCAACCCCAGTCAAGGTCAAGGTCAGAGGGTTTTGCATGCGCAGAGTGCAACCTTTGTTGATGCTAGGTCAGTCGATGCCAGATCCATTCAAGTAGGAATTAGTCCAGAAGCAGCCCAACAGTTTGCCGATACAGTTCGTAGCGCCACAATTGCAGAAGCAGAGTCAAGACATCACCAAGTAGTTGATGAAGTTCGGAGGGTTTCCAGTCAAGCAGCTAGGAATGAAGCTATTGTTGAAGCTGAATCACGCCATCAACATGTAGTCCAAGACATGGCCAGAGCATCCAGGGAACATGTCCAAGATGTTAGTGCCCGTGTTGCTAGTGACGTAAGAAGCCAAACTTTAGCAGAGGCAGAAACCATTCACCAGAGGGTGTTGGCTGAAACCATCCAAAATGCAGAAAGGGTTCATGCCCAATCGGTTGAAGATGCTAGGAACCAAGTTCAACGCAGGGATGAGTCAGTTATCCTTGAACTGCAGAATCAGGTCGCGCATCTCACTCGTCTCAATCAGGAACTCGTGGGAAGATTGCAAGCGGCAGAGAGCAGCGGTTCATTCCGCGCCCTGCCCGCAAGCGGAGGTCAGGTTGGAGCAAATCCAGGGTTGGGACCAGCAGTGCAGAAACCACCAACACATCAGCATGACGAATCTTTTGATTTGTTCGGTGATGATGAGCCGGCCAATGCACAATCTGAATCCCATGGTTCTATCAATCAAGTTTTAGCTGTTCTTCAGGAGGAAGTCCAGACCTTGAGAGAAGAGATGAGTAAGAGTAAGAAAGGAAAGAGTAAGAGGAAGTCTACTCCATCCAGCGTGTCTGCAAGTTCATCTTCATCATCGGATCATGACCCCGAGTATGAGAACGAAAGAAAATTAACGCGGTTGAAGGCTTACGAGAAAATCAAAGTCCCCAATCTACCGAAGTCAGCTGCAGAGATGAGGACATGGAAAAATACACTGATTTCTCAACTGGTTGCATGTTGCAGAAGCAGCGAGAAAGAGTTGCTAGCATGGCTCAGTGGCCCTCTAGTCGGTGAAGAAAAAGAATCAGATGTTTTTCCAGTTCTCAATCGGGTCTTAGGATCTAAGTTGCTAGAGGTTGCAAAAGGTGGACGGTTTGGGGTTGATTTCCAAGCTCTTCAGGAGAGAAGTGTGCGTTTGGGAAAGCAAGTGCAGGGTCATTTGTTGTTGGGTCGAATTTGCCGAAAGTTTCGTCTCGACAAAGAGCGTGGAATGAGTCTGAGTCAGCAACATCTACTGGCGTTGAAGCCCCAGGGTGTGGAGATCAAGGATTTGGAAGTCTTCAGGGATCGGGTTGAATTCGTGCTGTCAAGCCTCGAAACTTCGGAGTATCCTAGTGAAGCAATCCTTAGGACTTGGATTTACGAATGCTTAAAGAATGTCCCAAAGCTAGCGTTGAAAATTGATCGGTACAAAGAAGCAAATGCTGGTGACCCTATCAGATCATTTCAATGGTTATGGCAATCCATGATTGACTGCATTGATGAATCACAGCATGATCATAATACCGCATCAATCCTGAATGCTCTTCGCTCTAAAGTCGATGCAGCAGCCGCTTCCGCAGAGCAAGACAAAAAGAAAGATAAGAAAGTCAAGAAAGAGAAATCAGATTCGTCCAAAGAAAAGACAAGTGTTGATGTTGCAGCTGCCTCGTCTTCAAAGGCCCCGCCCAAGGCAAAAGCCAATCCTAAACCCAAGTCTTCATCCTCAAGCCAAGCTAGTGGTAAGAAGGGGATAAGGATAAGAAAGACGTGGTTGCGGGTGAGAAAGGTACACCATGCCTGTTTTACCCAAGTGGCACTTGCAGGAGGGACCCATGCCCATTCGTGCATGACCCAGCCGCCAAAGCTAAGTCAAAGGCCAAGCCTAAAGCTAGTTCAAGTGTTGCTGCCGCATTTGCAGTTGCTGCAGGAAACCTGCCATCAGCCGCCTCAGCAGTTGTCCCAAGGATCGTTAAAGCTGTTGTGACGTCTTTTGCATTGATGTGTAATCCCGGCATTCCAACTCCTGACAATCAGGTCCAGTCATTGCCAATGCAATCGTGTGAGGTGCCGTTTACCAGCTTCAATGCATCAACCGGAGAAGTGACTTGGTTGGGTGACACCGGTGCTGGCCGCAACATTGGGGGGGTTAGCCAAGTTGATCCTGAAATGATTGGACAATCCAATTTGCCAGTTACTTTCTCAACAGGTGGTGGGCGAAGAGATGGATCTAAGTCTTGTAGAGTGGTTGGTGAACTTTCTGGGTCAAATGAGTGCTACTTGCTGGAAAACAGTCCATGGGCTTTGTCCATAGGTGATCAAGTTCGGCAAGGGAAAGCATTCGTTTGGTTGCCACGTGATAGCCATGATGTTTCTGAGGACGCTGAGCTGCCAAAGCCATTCCTGGTGAAGCCCAGTAACCTTAAGGACTTAAAGGTAAGTTGCCCAGAAGCATCCCGCTTTTACGCCAGTGAAGTTCGAGAAAACGTCCCATTGTTCAAAGAAAGGGTGAGTATTCTGCATATGCCCGGGGAGGTTGATGAAAAGAATGATTTAGGTGATTCGTCAAAAGCCTTAGATGAAGAGTCTGATGGGTATGAGCCAAGCTTAGCACCAGAAGGCGCAGCAGCGCCGCCAGACGAAGAGGCTGTGGAGCATTCGTCGAATCATTCCATTTTACATCTTCCCAAGAGAGCGGATTGCCCCATTTGTCAAGAAGCAAAGCAAGACGCTGTTCCTGCTAGGCGTGTTAAAGGTGATCGAGTATTAACCGATAGCAAACCTAGTAAAAGCTTTGGGGATAGGATCCATGCAGACCACATCATCGTTGCTAAACATCGGTTGGATGGTTCTAAGAAAGGGCTGAAAGGAGACACGAAATGCCTGGTCTTGCTTGATGATTTCACTAAAATCGTAATGGCGTATCCAGCAGCTACCAAAAGCACAGAAGAGTGTGTCAAGGCACTCAAGCATTTTGGTGGTAAACGTCCATTGGTGGAATTTCATGCAGATAATACTCCTGAGTATGAGTCGACAGCAAGTCAACTAGGTCTCGTGTATGATGCAACCGTCCCGTACAGGAAAACCGCCATCATCAATCGAGCCATTCGCACTCTCGAGGATGTCACCCGGTGTTGTTTAGTACAAGTAGGCAACTTCAATGAATTATGGCCGTTGGCGATTCGTTATGCAGCTTCGGCCTCAACCATTAGCAATTGGGACAAACTCCATGACCATGAATTTCCAGGTCTTCACATTCCTTTTGGTGCGTTGATCAGTTACAAACCCAATGCCCCTAAATCCAAACTCGGTGCCAAAACATCAGCCGGTTTGTTCCTTGGTTGGAGAATTGAGGCAGGGATCCAATGGAAGCGCACATATTTGGTTTGTGATGTTCAGAATGTGAAATCATGGTTGGAAGGAAAATCTGGTCTTCAAGTTCTCACTACAATGGTTGTTGTGCAAACTGGTGAAGATAAATTTCCCTTGCGTGAAGCCGTGCAAAAGAAGCTAGAATCCTTGGAGGATTTACCTGTACTGCGTTTGGAGGATGATGTTAGGGCATTGGAAGAAGAGGTGAGTCGCGAGGAAGTTGAACCAGAATTAGACGACATCTTTGCAGACGATCCTTTGGATGAACCAAAAGTCCATTCCAAACATGAAGCCATTACTTTCTCCAGACTAATGCAATATGGTTTCAGTCCAGGTTGTTCAGCTTGTGAAAAGGGAAAGGGAATCCATACATCCAGTTGCAGAGAAAGATTTGATGGGCTAATCAGGGGGGGTAAGTTTACACTTCCCAAGGGCATTGCAAAAGGTGTTGGTTCTTGGAAGCTTGAAGGTGACCTGCTTACTCGATTCCACCATGTGAAACGCAAGAAGCTCTTTAATCCCTTATTGCCTGAAGATCTTCCAGTAAGTGCAAAAAGACTTGGAGCTAGAACCACCGAAGTTAAGTACTTTGAAAGCGGTGTCGAGGAAACAATCCATGATGAGCATTGGAGAGGTAACAACAAATCACTCAAGGAATTTTGGACAGGTCAGACAATCTTTCAGCTGCATCCCGAGGCATCGGACGTTCCTGCCGGAGCAGTCGAAGCAAAGGATGGTGAGCTGCAGGCTTCGCCGCGCCCCATCCAGTGTGGTAAGAAAGAGAAAAGACTTGCCCGAAAGTTGTTGCCAGCATATGGTGTTATGATAGAGTTTTGTTGTAGCCCACAATCTAATTTTGGAAAGGTTTCAGAGTCCGTAGGAGTAAAGCGCATCCGTTTGACAGAAAGCAACGGAAAGGTTTCAGAGCTTGAAGTGCAATCTCAGCTATTGGAAGTGTTGGATTCGGATGCCATGAACGGTGTTGACCTTTGGGGATCACTACCATGCAACCCTTGGTCTAGATGGCAACACGTGAACTGCAAGAAGTTAGGTCCAGCATTCCGTAGGAAGCTAATGTTGAAAAGTTTGGAAAGCAAGAAACTCTTGAAATTTTTCTTCCAGTTGTCCGCAATAATCCTCAGGCGTGGTGGCAGGGTTCACTTCGAATGGCCAACAGGGTGTTCCGGCTGGCAGATTCCAGAGCTTCAGGATTTCTTCAACTCAAACAACTTTCAGCTTGCGCATTTCAATGGTTGCACGGTTGGAGGCGAATCATTTAAGCCATGGACAGTAGCATCAACAGATGACTGTTTAGTTCGCAGCCTGAGAACCAAAACATGTGACCATAGCCATAAACATGTGCACTTGTGCGGATCAAAGACACCAAAATCAGCATTCTATCCAATGCAAATGTGCGAAGGTATCATCTCATCATTGTTTCCCGAGTTGTATCACAAGTTCGTTCCTTGTATGAGTTGCGAGTCAATCACTGAAAATCCAGTGCATGTCCCAAAAGAAGTTGAGCTTGAGGGAATTCCCATTAGCATTCATGAGTTGATTGATAGGAAGGTCTGGAAGGACGACCCTGCAGCACTCAGTGAAGCTAAGAAGGAAGCTCAAGGTTTGATAGATGCGGGGACATGGGATTACAAGAATGTTGTCCAGAGGCACGAGCTCGAACACAGATCCAGGAAGTCAGGAACGAAGATTGCGATTGGGAAACTCATGACAATTATGAGTTGGAAGAATGCAGAATCAGAAAAAGACAAGAAACTAAAAGCTAGAATAGTTTTTCTTGGCAACAATGTGAGGGACGAGTTTGGTCTTGCAAGTGAATTTCAAGAAATCAAAATCATTCCCACTACAATTGCCGGGCTTAACATAAATTTAGCCTTCGGACTGAAGAGAGGAAACAAAACGACTCAATCAGATGTTACCAAAGCTTATATCCAAAGTGATCTTCAAACAGAACATGACATGTACATCGAACTGCCAGATGAGTTGATTCCAGATCACCTCAAATGGATGCGCAGACCATGCACAAAGCTGCACAAATCGTTGTACGGGCACCCCGAGTCAGGGGGGGCATTGGGGTTTGAAGTTCAAAAGCTTGATGACACAAATGAACGGTGTAGAGTCAGCATTATTTCCATCCAACTTTATCATCAAAAAGTGGGGCCTGTTGGTCACATTGTACGTTGATGACATTGTTGTGTCAGGTCCGAGAGAAAATCATCAATTTTTCTGGTCAGAGTTGGAGAAGCATCTTCAATTTGAACCTCCGCAGGAAGTCACAAAGGTTCTAGGAAGAACACACTTGATTCAGGAAGGGGAAGTGCAGCTAGACATGCATGACTTTGCAGAAGTCGCCTGCAAAGTGTACGAACAGGAATGCAAAGAGTTCAAAGGGTTCAAGAAGGCCCCAACCCCGTATCTTGATGAAAGTACACTTCCTATTGATGATTGGGATAGTCAAGGTAGTCTTGCGAGTTCAGCCGCCAGGCTAATCATGAAAGCCTATTGGTTAGCTAGACTTAGCCGTCCAGATTTGCTACATGCATTGAATGAACTCAGCAAACGTATTACCAAGTGGAGCAGAAATGACGACAGAAGGTTGTTCAGGGTGTTTTGCTATCTAAATGGAACAAAGCACTATAGGATGAGGTTGAAACTTGATCCAGATGCAGAATGGGGTCTGTGGTTATTCACGGATGCTGACCATGCCTCAAAGGTAGACCACGGATATTCCACATCAGGGTCATTGCTCGCCATCGCTGGTGGAGGTTCATTCTTTCCTATAACATTTCAGTCCAAACGTCAAACAGCTTGCAGCCGTTCGACAACTGAAGCGGAAGCCATTGCATTAGCTAGTGCATTGTTCAGTGATGCAATCCCTGCACAAGAGTTCATGTCGCAGTTGCTTGATTCACCAATTCCTTTGACATGCCATCAGGACAACACTGCCACTATACAGGTGATCAGAAACGGATACAGTGCTCGCCTAAGACATCTGGGTAAAACGCACAAGATAAATGTTCAAGGGTTGTATGATGCTTTCAAAGAACCAGACATAAGCATTCAGCACTGTCCTACAGAACAACAGGCAGCAGACGTGTTCACTAAGAGCCTGGAAGTTCATAAGTGGCAATCGGCCTTAGACATGATAGGAATTTTTGACCCAAGCAAAAGTTGAAATCGCAACAAATGTCAGAAATCGCAACAATTGCCAGAAATAGATCCGACCCTTGTTGAGCCGACCTTGATTAGTTCAGGTGTTGCTTGGCCATTTTGGCCGCTCCTTGGTAGGAACCAAAGCTGCAAGCAGAGGCGCCGTTCGTTGCCCTTGCAGTGTGCTGCTGGCTTTGCCGCGCCCTGTAAGTGTATCTTTCGTGCCTTTGTAAATTAGGTTGGAATATGAGATCAGTTCTCACAAATGAGAAAGTACTGTCACCCTTGTGCGACTGGAGAAGCGGCCAATGCACCCCGAGATACATGGCCAAACTCTTTGTACACAAGCCTTGCGTGCATAGTCCATATCATAATTTGTTTTCGCAGCAACCTAGCCTGACTTGCCTTTCCACGATGACCTGATCGTCACTTTCGATGGCCACGATGAGTGCTTGATCCAAACTTTCGATGGAGTGCCAAGTTTGTGTGGACACCACCCTTTCGAAGGAGGGGGGCACAGAAATAATCCAGCTCAAATGCAGGGTTATACATGTACAGTCATTCTCACGGTGGTCCCTACTACATTTTGGCTCAAGGAGAAAAGAAGCCCGCGGAGCTCCCGCTAGGTTGTTTCGTTTGGGTTTCTTTGCCACTTAGCCTTTGGACCTGTTTTCATTGTTGACATCGGATCCATATGCACTGAAAAAATGATTTTTTTGCGTCAAAGAGCAGCTCAAGGCACTCAAGGCCTTGTACAGCTTGGAATCAGCAGTGGCGGTGTCTAGATGACGTGCTTGAAGTTTTGGGACTCAGTACCTCCATACACCTGGGACTCAGGTCCCAACTCTCATCCTCCTGCCGGCCGTCAATACAGCTCTACGTGGTTGCGTGTTGGTGGTCGCCATGTGGCGTCCTCAAAAGGGTTCGAAGCATCGAAGTAGAGGTCGAAGCAGTGACTTTGACCTGTTTTGACCCGGAAAAACACCACTAACCACCCACTTCCGACAACAGTCGACAGATGAGGTGGGGCTTTGCACTGATGGTGTCGCTCGGTGAGGTCGCCACTTGACGGAAGGGTCAAAATCTGCAATGGCCGCCAACGGAATGCTCAACGGCGATGAACAGTTTTTAGTTTGTTTTCTGAGGCACCTTATGAAGGCTTTCAGCCGGGTGGTCTTGTAAGGACTTTCAACCACACACAGGACGAACGGTTTCTTGGTGAAAGAGCATAGGACGTAGGGTGTCAGTTATATGTTCTATTCCCGACGGGGCCCAGTCTGAATCAGGCTGTTGATTCTCTACTATATTTTCGCTGCTGCATGGATCTACGAGTTCGTGGGCTCAGTCCATCGTCCGTCCAGCATTGATTTTTTCCTGATGCTTCCAAAAGCAAACAGGGCAAGCGTTTGCAAGGCTTCTGCTGGCACTCCAGCAGTTTGTTGCGAGCTCAGATGTCTGGCTTTGGAGCACCTGAAGCACTTCTGAGGGTTGAATTCATAATATGGTGTGTTGTTTCTCAGATATATACTTACATTGATATTGACGCTGGAACGTTTGTTCTAATCGCTGCGCAAGATCACAATGTCTCTGGGAGACCCAGGTAGTGGCTTACACAGTGCTGATTTGGTACAATGCCCCTCTGGTGGATGGTAAGAAGAAGGTGCTCTGAGTGGGCAGGGTGTTTATTGTGTTCCCTTTTTTCAACTGTTGTTCTCATTGATGGGGTCAAAAGGGCATTTAAGTAGAGCAAGATCCTTCACACTGCCGACAGTGAAGAAGAACCTGAATGTGTGGAGGAAAGCCTTCCCCGGCAGGAGGGCTTGCTTTTGGAAAAAGAACGCGCATCAAAACGATGTGCTAGGAGCAAGGACGCTACTAGTAGCTCCTGGCCATACTACTAGAACAAGAAGCTATTAGGGGCTCCTGGCCTTACTACTAGGAGCAAGGACGATACTAGTAGCTCCTGTTCCCTTTGTCATCCTTTGCCTATTCGAACCTCTGTTTCATGGGGTGTGCATGGAAACGCGTTCCGGAAGTTCGTCCAGGTGCCTTGCCTTCCAATCATCCGAGCGGTCTTCATGGGCCTCACCTACCACTTGGGAAGTTTAGCCTTCGGGGCCGTCAGAGGACTCGGCGGCTGATCGTCAGATTGGAAGCACAGAACAAATGCAAGAAAATTTGACTCGGCTGTGCTAAATTGGAAGATTCGGAAGCAAACAGACTGTAAGAAAACGGCAAAGATCCTTCACTCAGCTGAAGTCTTTGATCGATGCGCCTGTTTGGCAAAACAAATGCAAACCAGCATGATGCTCGTGCTTCTTCTCTTTCACTGCAGCGATGAGGTCTTGTTGGCCTTCTTGCGAGTGGTCTATGTGCTTGTGAAACTCTTTTACAATCAGGCCCATTCTTTGTTTGCTTCTGCTCCACGCCTTTGTTTAAGGACACACCTGCAATTGTTAGGGTGTTGTTGTATTTTTCAGGTATTTGGTTCGAGAGCAGTCACAGACGGATTCCACCCTCTCTTCCAATTTTTCTGGGAACAATGGCCCGTGCGATGTTTCCTATTGCGCTCTTGGCATGTCCTTTTGTGGCCGCAAGCTCCTCATCCTTGCGCGGTGCGGGTTGCAGTGGCGAAGGTCTCTTGGGTGGCTTGAGCCCAGGGAGCTCTGAAACGACTCTCTCGGCGCCCATCTGCTACGGCGGCCAACTTTTGCTGGAGACCTTCTCAATCAAAGTCTTGTCTTTTGATGGGAAGCACGGGGTCGTAGACATGAAGGCTGTGGGTCCTCAGTCCGGCGAGTGTATCGGCTCAGAATTCCAAACGAATGACAACAAGGTGACGATCGATGACAAGGGATGCTTGGGAGACAGCGAGTATGAAGTGCGGTACTGCCCAGACCAGGACCATTTCATCGTGAAGGTCGAGAAACCCGTGGAGGCGGAGGTGATCCTTGCCAGTCAGCCGTGCCCGGAGGGAGAGATCTAAGAGGCTGACAGAGCTACCTTTGGGATGAGACTCACAGTGGTCCCATCTGATTAATTCAAGATGCATTTGATCACGAGGAATACGAGGGTTCCTCATGAAGCTTCGGCTGACTTCAGACTGATGGGTCTGGAAAAAAAGGGTCTGAACAATTTTCACTGGATTCGAACACAGGTCTGGTGAAGGAACAGCTCACAGACCAGAGAACCTCTGCACTTCCGGTCTTCAGGTGCCCGAGCCGTACCGCCTTCTGATCTCAAATGCCAGGCCAAACAGACCGAGGATGACAACGCCAACGCCTGGGCCTTAGGAGCTTCGCAGCTTGGGTTTGTGTCACCAGCTTCATGACTTAGGCGGTGGTCAAGACGGTGGCCGGCTGCTGTTGCTGTTGTCTGTCATGCTTTGAGCAGGCCCTCAGATACTTGAATCAAGGCCAGACTGTTGTGAGAATTCTGAACCAGGACCTTTGTACTTGCTTGTTGGGGGGAGACTTTGAGAGGAGCTTATGTGATGGTGGCCGTCAATTCAGACGGATATTGTAAAGGCGCTGATAGGCGGGCAATGGACTTGCTTCGTAACTGTTTGTGAGACCCTAAGACGAATAGGTAAGCAGAGCTGATGTGGGAGACCATCACTGAACCATCAAGCCAAACATCCCTCGCGCCAAGTGACATCATTCGAATCCTTGATGTTTGTTGGGCACTTAAAGCTCGAACAAAGAAAAACAAAGAAAAACAAAGAAAAACAGGGTCCAGCAACGCCAAAGCCCAACCTTGGATGATATTTTGGATAGTCTGCCATCCTATCACATCTTGAAGGGCTATCTCCTTGGTGGCCCGCGACTTTGTGGCGATCGGGGCTTTGGAAGGATCGACCTTTATCTTCCAGGCACCCGACGCGATGCGGTTGTCGACCGGTCGTGTCGACGCCAAGCGGTTGGCGACAGGGCTCGAGACCTGGGAACGCATTGGACAGGGACGTGAGAGACGTGAGATGAGATTAGAAGGAAGAACCATGAGCTTTCTGGACATGGAACCATCGGCTTTCTCCATGGATTTCAATGTGATTTTCATCCATCCTGAAGTTTTGCGAAATGCAGAGGCTTTGGGAAATATCGCCATCCCTGGGTTGGGTGGATACTTCACATACCTTTTGGTGTCTCGGCTTGATTTAAGTGCAACAACTTGGATACTCCCAAGAAAAACTATGGGAAGTCATGTAGTATCTTCCTGGATTCTGACGACCACACACATCTACCATGTAGTTTTTGTGCTCACCTCGCAAAATAACCAGGACTTTTGCTGTGGAGAACCCTCTCATTGGGCAACGTTGGCTGACCTGGGAACACTCCAGCTCCTCTTGAAGACTTGTCCTGAGACAACAACTCTGAACTCCTAGAGGAAAGGGGCCCATGTACAGTGTCGACTACTTTCTGGAGTGGTGAACGTTGGGGAAACCCCACCTGTGAAGAAGCGGATATACCATTCGCTTGTATGTGCTTGTTTGCGGTTTTGATTAAGAAGGTCTGGATACCTGGATACCTCCACCCAGACCTGAGGTCACACAGCTGGAGCAGTTTAGCACGCCGGGGGAGCCCGACTACATCGCGCAGCCGAAGCTGATTGCAGCCGCCTGGAGTTGGAGGAGTATTTTTGATTCATGGATCTACATAGATCATATATGATCATATATAATCTTTTGACCATTTGACATTATCCCTCAATGTGGCGGGAATTAGAGAAGAGAAAGGAGAAGTGCCAAGGGACAATCTGTGCAAAAAATGTAAGGGCTCCGCCCGGGTGCCGCCGACCCCTTTTCATCTCGAGGGTTTGGCGGTTGAACCTTGACAACTTCCTGGGATTCAACAGCGAGACTTGGATGGGCTTCACACCAATGCTGGCATTCAACCAGCTGCCGAGAAGAGGGCAAGGCTGCGGTGAGGCTCTGGGGAGCGTTTGAAGCCGAGC